AGGAAGCCAACTAAAAAAGCAGTTGAAAACCAGCTGGATGCCTGGCTTTTAGAATATTGTTTGGTATTTTCCTTTTTTTAAAGAGACCAGTGCTCCATATCTGTTCTCTTATTCAGCATTTTATACATGAAAAGTGATCGGCAGAACACCCTCATGTTCGGTTCGCGGTTGAACATTCGAACCTAATGAATGTTCGACCACAAACTTCAAACTTAATGCAAATGCAAGTCTATGAGACTTGAACTTGTAAATTCAAAAGTGTCCTTTTTGAAGGCATATATGTAAGTTATTGCCCATAAAAGGGGTATGGAGACTCGGGCACTGCCCTGAGGGACATGAATCAGTGAAAAAACAAAAAATTAAAACTTAGAACTTGCTGCAGCAAGACTGACATTTTTATAAAAAAAAACAAAAAAAAACAGCATGGGGTCCCCCCAATCCCTACCAGACCCTTTAGGTCTGGTAAGAAGGTTAGGAGGAACCCCACAGTAAAAAATTTAAATTGTGTGGGGTTCCCCCATTAGGCCTGGGGGGCTTTTAAGGGGAGCCCGACCTCTCAAAAATGAAAGGAAAAAGTGCATGGGGTTCCCCCTAAAAACCATACCAGGTTCTTTAGGCCAGGTAGGACTTTTAAGGGGAACCCCACACCTAAAAAAAGTAGGGAAAAAGCGTGGTTGTCCCACTAAACTTCTATCAGACCTTTGATCCGAGCACACGCCAGGCAGGGCAGGAAAGGGAGAGCAAACAAGAGCCACCCTCCCTCCCTGTGGCTTACAAGGCCACATAACCTTGGCATTGGGATGGTGTCCCCATGCCGATGGGCACAAGGGCCTCTTCACACAATCCATCGTCCATCACGGTGTCCAGCATTGTTATGATGCTGCCGACTTGCCCTAATGAAAAAACCAACGTCTGCCGACCTGTCTGCACCTGCTGAGCACTCTGACATTTGCAGGTCAGATGTGAACAGTTGGGCGGAGCTAGTGGTGATGTCACCACTAGATCTGCCCAATTGTTTACAACTGACCCGCAACTGTCAGACCTGTCATATTGGGGCGAGTGCTCAGCCAGTGCGGACAGGTTGGAGGGTTTTTTTTTTTTATTTTGATGATGGTTTACAACGATGGAACTATTTTTTTGGCTATTTTTTTTAAATAAAGTACTTACCAAAACTGTTGTTTTGTTTTTTGGGCAACAAATACATTTTTCAAAGGTCTGGTGTCTTTATGGTTTGCTCAATTTAACCCTTTAGAAAATGGGTAGAGGTAAAAGTACCCCTTACTCGTTCACAAGGGGGAGGCAGCATCAGGGTGTTCCCTTATTTAAAGGGGTGCCCTGATACTAATGAGCTTCCTTGCCCGCAGACCCTGCAGACCCCCACAACCACTGGGCCAGGGTTGTGAGGAAGAGGTCCTTGTCCCCTTCATCATGGGGACACCATCCCAATGCTGAGGGCATGTGGTTTGGTAGGCCACAGGGAAGGTGGTGCTCGTTTGCCCCCTGCACCTTTCAAACAGGTGCAGAAAAATTTGGCCTTGGGTGTTAGTGGTGCCTGAACACTGTAATCCCTCACAGTTACTCTTGCTGGGCACAGGAATGGGCCCTGCTGTTAAAAATTAGAAAAAAATTGTTAAAAATTGAAATTACATGCACTTGCCACATAGGTGCAGAAAAATTGGGCAGAAAAATTGGGCCTTGGGTGTTGGTGGTGCCCTAAACCAAACACATTGTTGGAAGGAATATGATAGGCAGCATAGACAGTCTTCATACTCTGTTCTCTCTGCGAAGGTAGGATGAGCTCTGCAACTTTACCCTTGTAACATGAATCAAGGAGGGTTGCCAACCAGTAATGATAGCACGAATCTTCATGTCCTTTCGCAGGCTTTGCAGAATCAGGGAGCCCATGCAGCATAAGTTTGAGGAGGTGTGAGATTCTGAGTCCTCTGAGTTCCTGAGGATGACACTGTCATGAACTATCTCCTACCGGCCACATACTACTCCTGGGGTTTCTGGAAACCATCCCTTGAAGACTGCCATATGTTATCCTCTATTTCAATGCTGACAAAATCCTCCTCCTCCTCCTCCTGAGTGTTCAGAAATGGTATCTGCATAAAGGGGGCCTTGAGAGGAAAGAATGTCCTCCTCTTTCTTTCGCTGTTCTTCCTCAAGTACCCTGTCCTCGATTTCACTCAGCGTGTGCTCCAGCAGGAGGACTAGAGGGATAGTGTCACTGATGCATGCATTGTCACGGCTCACCATCCTTGTGGCCTCCTCAAATTGTGACAGGACAGTGCATGCATCCTTTATCAGCAGCCACTGGTGTGGCGAAAAGAAGCCAAGCTCCCCTGAACAAGTTCTTGTGCCATACCCACACAGGTATTCATTGATGGACCTCTGCTGTGTATGCAGCCACTGCAGCATTGCCAATGTTGAGTTCCACCTGGTGGGCATGTCACAAATGAGGCAGTTGGTGGACAGGTTGAAACACTGGCCGTGTATGACCACCAGAAATGGCCAGAGACTTTTCTAGCCTGCCTCAGAAGATCTTGTAAGCCTGGATACCTGCTTAGAGAGCATTGCTGGTTCAGAGGACAAGTCAGCAGAAGAAGCCATTGAGGAAGAGGAAGGGTGGAGTAGACAGATGTGGCAGAATCACCACCAGCTTTTTGGAGACGTGGTGGTGGAACAAGCTCCAGCACAGAACCCTGTCCTGCATTATTCCCAGCTGCCAGCAGAGTTACCTAGTGCACCATAAAGAAAATGTAACATCCCTGACCATGCCTCCTGGACCATTTGTTAGCAGTAATGTGGACCTTGCTGCTGACCGCCCTGTCCAAGGAGGCAAAAAAATTGCCTTCTACATGATGGTACAGAGCTGAAATGGCCTTACATGAAAATAAATTTATTTTCAGAACCTGCCACTGTGTTATAGCCAATTCCACTAATTGACAGAGTCCACCAGATGAAAAGGCAGCAGTTGTGACACTAGCAATTTGGCCAAGCTATCATTTAGATGCTGAAAATGTATATTATATAGGGTGCGCTTGTTAGAGCCTAACTTTTGTAGCTGTAGGATAAAGGTGCCAGATGGATATCAGGGATGGATAGATGGGAGCAGTAACACTGAGGCAGCACTTCTTAGAGTGGAAGCAAGGCTCTAATGCAGTAAACATGGAAAAGAGAGGAAGGCACCTCTAAGTGCAGTAAATTGTCAATACTGCACTTAGAGGCGACTTCCTCTCTTTTCCATTTAGATGCTGAGCATGTGGATGGGTAGGACAGTATTTTTTTATGGTTCAGCAACTGGGGTAGCAAAATTTGCCTGGTGAAATCAACAGGTGGTGTATTGCTAGCAGATTGGGTGCAAGGACCTAGCACCCATTTCTATACCATCATCACTCTCAGTGAAGGCTGTTGAGATGAATTGAGGTATAGTAGGGGTAGAGATCCCAGATGAGGAGCAAGGAGAACTCTGCACTTTTTTATGATGTGGGGCTTTCAGGTGCTGTTGCCAACGGGCTGCATGGCAGGCCATCTTATATTTTGTCAAGCATGTGCTGCTGGAATGACTGGTGTTTTGGCCACGCTTCATTTGCTTCAGATAGAGACTGCAAACAGCAATGCTGTGGTCTGCTGCACATGTTTTGAAAAAAGAACACACCAATGAACTTTTGGAAGTCAGCAGGGAGTCAGCAGCACCCTGCACCTCTGTTGTGTGATGCAATAGGGTGGCCTGCCCTTACGCCTGCCTCTGAAGGACATCCTTCCTTGTTGGAGTTGTGTCTCCTCCTCACTTTCCTTCTCTGTTCTCTCAGGCACCCAAGTACATTCAGTGACCTCATCAACCCCTTCCTCCTTGTCACTGGATCCAATGTGGCAGTATGCTGCAGCTGGGGGAACATGACTGACAATTTCTTGTCAGTCATTGGCACCCCCTCTCTCTAGGCTCATGTCACTCCCTTCCTCAACCTGGAAACCAACATCGGAGCATTGAAATTGCTGCGCATCCTCCAGTTGCATGTGACTGACACTATGTTCAAATAATTCAGGTGACTCCTCCATGCATGATGGTGGGGCTACAGAAGGAATAGCTGTGGACAAGACACCTGTGGAATAGGCCATGTTGGAAGCTGTGATGGAAGGCAAACTAGTATGAGCCTAGTTGACAGAGGATGAGTAGGATGAGGATGGCTTAGTTATCCATTCCGCCACCTCTTCAGCACCGGGAAAAAGGGACAAGCATGTCGTGCCTGCAGAGGACGCACCATGTCCACAACCACCACTTTTCACTGTGGACACAGATGCTGATTGCCCTCTTTTAGCTGCCTGTGAGTGTCTGCCTCTCCTTGTTGGCCTTTCAGACATGATGGGGATTTTTTTCAGGGATTTTTGTAACTTTTTATTTTAGAGTGTGGGATGGGAATTTGGTGCTTGGGTGCAATACTTGTGTGCTTGGTGCACTATAAACCATTTTATTATTATTATTATTTTATAGAAAAAATAGGGGGTACAGCAATTATGGATAATTTGTTTTTACTGCTGCTGCTGCTGCACAAGTACAAAAATTAAAGCCAAAAAAACCCCAGTGGTGACGAAAAGGAAAAACACAAGAAGGGGGAACAGCAATTATGCCCACATTTTTTTACAGCTGCTACTGCTGCGGCTATAAAAATGAGATTAAATAAAATTTAAAAAAATTAGGAAATAAAAAAAAAAAAGAAACCACTGCTGATGCAGAAGGACAGTGACTTTGGCCAATTATGGCTCTCCACTGCATTGTGCTATGATTAGTCAAAGCATTTCACCTGACCTATGGTTTGGTGCATTGCTGTGACCAATCCTAATTCACTGTGAAAGCACAGTGCATTGTGTGGCACGGCAGGCGAATAGCCCACCAAACGCCCTTACCGTTTGTGTGTTCGGCAAACACACAAACGGCTAATGTTTCATATATAGTGCTATGCTTATTGTGCGAGTCGAACGTAAGTGGACGGACTGACCATTTGGAAACTCGGGCACTGCACGAGGGCCCGTGGTTAGTAGGGGGCCCCATGAGATGCCCCTGGTACCTTTTTAATAGGCTTTTTTGAGTTTGGGCAAGGGCACAGGAGCCCAATGATCCCCTATTGCCCGGGGGCCCCATGAGTTGTCAGTCCGCCCCTGCTCGCACAATAAGCATATCACTATACGTGAAATAATACAAGGGACCACAACGTTACTGTTATCTTTAAAAGGTACAGCGGTCAGTTAATACCAATTTTTCTTGACTGGCAAGTGGCAACTTACACTATATGTCTAGCGATCCACGGAAACTTGGTCCAATTTTCATTCCATATGGTTCAGTAGGATCATTGCTACTTCTGGCAATTTAAATGTTACTGCTTGGTTAAAGTAGTCCACGACTTTGGACTATCATTATTATGTAGATGACAAACATTTGTGCCTTTTTACTATAAGTCTTGGCCAAAATATGCGTCATTAGTCATCTCTGCCTTCCTACAAGAGCTTGAAGATTGGGTGAATTCCATCTGTTTGAATCTGAACTTTCAAAAAACTGAGATTTAGAAGTAGTGGGTGGCCTGCACCTAACATTTTTGGACACCTTGCATTCCTTACACTCACAGCTTAACCTTGTGGTGTTTGATATAAGCTAAGACCTACCAAATCTAATTAATAAATTTGATCCAACAACTGGATCTCTATAATGCATTGTACTGTAACTGACAAAGGCCTGCATCCATTTAATGTACTGTATTACACTTATTCACCTATTACTTGCATTTTCTGTATTCTCCACTGCCTTCTAACAAAGTGAATAAATACTGTACATTTAATGTTAATCTGCTAAAGGTCAAAGCACTAAATTAACTTAGCCCTACATATCCAATATAATTACTAAAACAATATTCCCACACATTTCCTTTGTTCCACAGGTCACCTAACCTGAATTTATATCATGCACCAACCTGTCCACTTGCTCTCTACAATAGTATAAGAGGCTCAGTCCCTTGATATATTTTAAATTAGAATAAATACTTTCTTTTACTTTCAGGCATATAGGGTTCATTGCCATATATTTGTTAGAAATATTGGTTTTAGTATTAACATTTTACATACCATGTGTTGATTTTTAAGGTCTCAGAATATGACTGTTTATTATTAATATTATCACCAGAGGATTTGTTCAGGTTACTTACTGTTTGTTTCAAGACTTTCACAGAGTTCTGTTTTGACTTCACCATTAGGTCGATCATTCCCTTTTTGAATCAGCTTGCTTTGCATGGTAGCAGCTGTCACAACTGCCTTGAAACTTCTCTTTCGCTTTTGAACATTTTGCTCAGGATGAAAGATAATAATGTAAACCTTGGGCATATAAAGCATTCCCAGAGACACTGAAGCACTTAAACTCATGGATACTGTCAGGGTAGTTGTCTGGATATACATCTGCAAAAAGATACAAACTTTTTTTAGAATACACCGAACAGCCCATGCTCATACCATATGATAAAATATATTGTCATTGCAAAAATAAATTAACAACAACATTTCCATTCTACTGCTTGCTTTATACAAAAAACATAAAAATAATGTCTCACACATACATTCACAAAACATACATGAAATTATATATCAAATTAATTATAAACATACCCATCATTAAAGAGGTTAAAACACTCTATTATACCAAACAGTAACCAGGACCACTTGGCTAATTAATTCAATTTCATTTTCACATTTATGGCATTAATAGCCCCCAGAAAAACAAGCTTTCTCTAAATCTGTTTATTCTCACCTTGATATTTCTAAAAGGTCTATCGGACAGCAAATATTCAAATAAATGATTGCCAGGATGGGACAGATCTCTCACTATTTTCTCTGCATTTCAAAGACAGTGGGGCTAATACATTTCATCTAGAGAGAGAAGTTTAGAGCCCACAATTTTCTGTGCTGTGTGGTATATTTTGAAGAGCAGAATATTAACACACAGGTCATCATTAGTGTTCTGGTTTGGCAGCTGATTTAAATTTTAGATTGCAAATTATCCATTAGTACCCATAGAATTCCTAACAAAAAGCTCATTAGTCAAAAATATATAAATAAATCAACACATAACAGTATTGGTGTAAACCTCCTGCACTCCTAACTAAAAAAGTGATAATATAAATAGCAAAGCGAAGCTGCTAACATCTAATCATATACCCAATGATCAAATGAATAAGATAAGAAAAAATGATTTAGCGCTACTCAAATAACAAATAAACAGATACATAAATCACATACCATAAACTCATATAAATAAATAAATGTGATAAATATAAAGTGCCAAAAAGTGCAATTATCATAAATGTGACCTGATCCACATGGGATCAAAAAAAATTGACACAGAAAAAACTATAAGTGTCTAAATGTGACCTGATCCTCTGGGGATCCTTTTTGAACAAAGTGAATTATTATCCACCAAAGTGATGGTAATAACTGAAGTGTGTATACCAATACTCTCACCGAGTATAGTATATGAGTGAATTGATCCTAAATTGGATCTATGGTGATGGTGGACACTCAAACCAATAAGATAGAAAAGTCCAAAATGGGATTAATATGTGAATACTGTCCAAAAAAGGACTCCAATTCAAGGAAAAAGCACAAACATACAGGTAAACACTTCTTATATCACTCATAAATCATACTCGGTGAGAGTATTGGTATACACACTTCACTTATTACCATCACTTTGGTGGATTACAATTCACTTTGTTAACAAAGGATCCCCAGAGGATCAGGTCACATTTAGACAGTTATAGTTTTTTCTGTGTCAAATTTTTTTTGATCCCATGTGGATCAGGTCACGTTTATGATATTTGCACTTTTTGTCACTTATATTTATCACATTTATTTATTTATATGAGTTTATGGTATGTGATTTATGTATCTATTTATTTGTTATTCGAGTAGCGCTACATATTTTTTTCTTATTTTATACATAACAGTATTGACCAGCCATTTACAGAATTATCTTTTATGAGCCAATGCAGCTCAATGTTGACACGTTTTTAACCACTTAAAAGATGATACAGTTTTTGTAAAATTATACCGGTACATAACTACACATAGAAAGGGGGTTCCAGGGTTTGGCCTAATTTAGGAAAGAAGGAGTTCCTAATGAGCTAGAAATATAGTAAGTTTTATGTCAAGATGAAAAAGAAAACAACAAAAACTTGCATTAAGGCAACACTTGAAAAAGTATAGAATATACATTCATTGCAAATTATATTTTACCTATTTTACAGGAACCTGTGCAGACATATTTGGAAAGTGTTTTACAAGGGTATAGGTGATTCATATGGATCCCTTACATTCTAATGTCACCGGCCAAGTCTCCAGCAATTAAAGTAGATTTGTGTACCTCCAAGTTATAGTTACAGACCATAGAAAAAAATCTAATTGAATTGTCATTGAATTTCTTTGGTGGCTCTGATATTCTTTAAATAGTATAGAACATTAATTTCTAAGATCTCTTCCAATCTCATACTCATTAAAAAAGTAATTGTTACTTAAGAATATAATTAAAAAAAATTGAAACAAGGAGAATTTTAGAAAAAGATACGTAAAGATATACCAACAGAAGGAAAATAACTTCTATGTTAGATTTAATGCCATATCTGACTTGCTTTGGCATACAGGATTAAAATAAATATATTTTTACATTTGAAATAAGTGCACTTATCAATAATGAGCAGTGAAAAAGGAGAACATAGGGCCTATTAGTAAAAAGTGCCTCAAGGCAGATTAGGAACTTTTTCGTTCATTAGAGATTGAGTTGTATGTCAGCTTGAAGGTCTGATAGATGCTTTATGTTGGTAAAAAGGCATGCCCTATGGCTTTGCAGAATCATTCACCCTGGTGATATATAATCCCTTTATGACCAAAGAGGATTTAGAAACATAAACAGTTATGATACATGTGTTTTTACCTTTAAGCAAACCAAAACTATTTCGAAAAGGAAAGGGCAGGCAGAGGACAAGGGACTAGTCAGCATTTTTGTTTGTTGTTTCCATCTAGGTAATCTTTCTCCATTTCTGGATTACCATGCCGTGTTCTGCAATGTGTCTATGTGTGGGAGAAGTATACTTGGAAGAGACAGGACTTTTCTTCCTAGTGTCAATTTCCAGCAAAGAGAACAGTGAGCAGTAAATAGTGACAAATCTTACTCCAAATATGTTAATATTAGCAGACAGAGATCTCACACTGTAGATACAGTAGGCACAGAGGATCCTAGCATGCCCACATACCAGGAAATGCACTGTGATTTTTCATAAGGAATTAAAGGCAAAAAGTACAGCTTCAGGGTATTACTACACAAATAACTACAATATAGCAAAAGTTCCCTATAACATAGTGACTGTTAACTTTTTAAGTTCAGCTCCACTTTGATTCTACTTTTTCAGGACATATGAGGAGTACATTTATTGAAAACATTTTCGCTATGATATTTTATCCCGTTTGTCCTGCTTACTTTGGCTTAGCCTGCTGATTGGGTATTATATACTTTATGGATTTTAGACCATATTTTTTAAGTGGTTCAGTTTCAAACAACAGAATTTCACTGACATAAATCTCCCCCTTCTCCCCGGATAGGTACTACTGAGAAAAGTATGCATTAAAGGATATTCATTGAAGGGTATACTGTACAAGCTAGCCTACTCTTAAGCATTATAGCTTCTGCTTATCTTACTCTCAACCAGTGTTTCCAAATTTCTCTACAGATGTTTTCATTAACTGTATTTACATATAATGTGTAGGGAGTCATTCTATTTACCCATTCACTTTTCTTTTTTCTGTTTTTCTGAAAACGGCGCGGCCGTGCTGGGCTACGCCCATACGGATGCGTCATCCATTCACGGACTTCCGTGAATGAATGAACTGCAAGTCCTGAGAGCCTTAGTGGCTGTGGGCTTGTAGTTTTCAATGAACTACCATGGCGCTCCACAGTTCATTCAAACTTCCTGTCAGAATATCTGGTTGGCCATACACCCCATACGGCAAGCAGATATTCTGACACGTCTGCCAGAGACCTGCGTGGCACCTGAGATCTACTGATTGCTGGTGCAATGCTCGTTTGGACAAAAATAATAAATGCACATTTGTTTACCTGCAAAAAAATGTGCATTTATTATTTTT